TGCATTAAAATTTAAATTATAAAGAAGAAGAAAATATTAAAAAATAACATTTTTTAATAAATATATATAAATTTTAATAGTAAATTATCAATTTTAGGCAGAAATTTTATAAATCAAAGTTAAACGCTCGGATGATTAAAATTTCTGACTTCAGCAGAGTGTTTAATAAAATTATTGTCTGGAAAATATTATAAACTTTTTGTACAACATCTAAACAAAAATAGTGTAACCAAAATTGGTGCTAGAAACATTTTTTTCCGGCTTTTAAAATGTTCTGTAAAAATCGAAATTTGTTCCTTGAAAATGAACCAACAACCGTTTAAATTCGATATGGAAGCAGTTTTTACAGTGGGTGCTCCACCAGAAATTATTGTTAATTTTTTTTGTGAAAATATTAGTTTGCTGTCGGTACCTATGGTCGGAAGAATCAATTTTTAGAAAATTGAACGTATTTTTCAATTGAACAAACCGCAGACTCCTAAGTTTGAAACTTTTGCTGGAAATCATCCTTAAAGTTCAACATGAATTATAAAAATCCCGAAAAAAATTGTAAATAGATCAAGAATTGCTTTTTTTGATCTTTTATTTTCGTCAATATCCTGAAGAGACATATTGAAAGACGAATCTGGTACGTCATCTTCTATGTCACTAACACCTGCACCTCCACCTTGATCTTCGTAATCTTCATCACAATCCGCAAAATATTGTTTCTCCACTGCTTTAAATACTTCTTCTAAATCCATTCTGCACTTTCACAAACTAAAACAATTTTAAATTAGCTGCATAAGAACGAAAAACCACGATCTCGAAAATAGAATGATAAGAAAAGCAGCACGTATTATTCCAACTTTTTCAACGTTCACAAAATTAGCTATTTAGAGGAAATCACCACTGATAGTGGAAGTCTAAAGAGAGGTGGAGAGCCAAGGGTAAAACGAAAAAAGAAGAGGTAGAAGCGCAAATACAAACGCGACGTACGACTTTTTATCATTAACAGCTGTTTTCTCGAAAACTTGATTTCTAACCATAGGTACCTTTCCGTAGTCCAGGTCACATATAAACTTTGTCATCAAGAAACTATTTAATAATTTTGTATTTTTGTATTGAGGTAATAAAATTATTTCCACATCCAAGTATTATTAAGGGCACTTTATTTTAATGATTGTATGACATTTGACAACTGTCAGCTAACAAAAAGGACGTGACTAAAACGCCGTTAAGTCGCAGCTTATCAATGTATATTTCATAAGGGTCAGGTAGGATAATGGTCGTTTTAAAGGTGGCAGTACAAAAATATTTCAGTAATATATTACTATGACTTGTTTTACTCGTATATGTAGTTCCACAAACGGACGGTTTACTTTTTACATTTTATTAGCGATATTTAAGATTAGTATAGGTAAAACTTTTACAGGATATTATTATATTTTGTGGACTATAAAAGTAATATACTATTTATTTCATTATTTTATAGTATATTATGTATCAAGTTTTATAAACGCCATTTTAGTTACGACTTTAATTAAGCACGAGCAAAGCTTGCGAGCGAGTGTTAAAAAAACGAGTATCCATGGATACTCTTCTCTGCAGAGAAGTTTATAAAACGAGTTGCATACGACGAACATAAATAAGAATTTAAAGCCAATTTTATTTGTTAAACATTTGACATCTGTCAACTGTCAACGGCTTTAACCTCACTTTTCCCAAATAATAATAAAGCTAACCTCAGCCCGTGACTAAAATGACCCAAAACATCTTATCAATGGTTGAGTATATAAAATATTTTTTCTACTCCCACCTTTAAAACGCCCTTTATCGTATATGTTTCCATGACACCAAGTGACCTTTTAAATACTCATTGACAAGTTGTGGCTTTATGGCGCTTTAGTCACAGTCTGAAGTTAGTTTTAAGTTAGTTGACAGTTGTCAAATGTCATACAATCGTTAAAATAAAGTGCCTTTTTTGTAAAATAATACTAAATGTGAAAATTATTTTATTATCTCAATACAAAAATACAAAAGTATTAAATAGTTTCTCAACACCAATATTTAAAAAGTTTATATGAACATTGTACTGACCTTTTAATTTCTCCGGCAGTAAACTATAACTTAAATTCGGGCACGGACTCCACTTAAAGTCCTCATAAAACATTTTCTTTACTTTTACTGTAAAAAACTTCAATTTTTAAGAAATACATTTCGATTTATAACCTTTATAATCTTTGTTTATAAAATAAAATGTGACATTTGACGGTGACACACAGATTTCCCTATTGTTTCATAGATGGCGATCTATATAAATTTTTGATTTATATCATTTTAAGATAATAATAAGTATTTGTCGTAGAAAAAGTATAGTATGCACCTCGTTTATAAACTTTTCTATACACTCATTAATTTAAATTAAATTCGTGTATAAAATGGCGTTTATCAAACTTGATACATAATATACTATTATGTTTTGGTATTCTATAATAATTATTGTTTAATCTGTCATAACTTTTTAAGTGATATTTTTATGATGCAAAAATTAATTACGACCTAAATTTTAATGAATCCTTTTGCTTTGAAAGAAATTAAGACGTCTTAATTAAAGAGTCCCGTAGTAAACATTTCCAAAGTAATAAATTAATTCGGTAGGCGAAATGGCCTTGCGCTTTTTCCCTTTCCAAAGTCGTAAAAGTAAATTAAGTTGTAAGTAAAGGCATAAAGGTGTGCCGCTATCGCTTAATAGAAACACTCTCCGCTCAGCTGCAAGTTACTAAGTAATTCGAAAATAATTACATCCACACTTATAAAACATATTAATAAGTCGCATTAAAACTTTACAAACAAGTGTAATAGCAAAATAATCGCTCGATTTCATTCTCGAAGTCGACACGAGATCGGGCTGTAAAAATGCAAAATAACTCAATTTTTGACGAAACGAAATTATTGTTGTTTGTTGCACTCCACTTTTATGGAATAAAGTAATTTAACTTTTCAACTTTTATTTATTTCCAGTGAGCGTGATAACGAAAATTTACGGCAGGCATGAACAGAAACAATTTCTATGACATTGGAGCAACTAACAATTGAATGTTCAAGTTATTACTTTGCGAAAAAGTCGCATTAGCTTTGTTTTCATAAATTATAGTTTCGTAATACAAAAAGTTACTAAATACAGTGTAGTAGTTTTTTGAAACTTTTTCCCCGTATTCAATGCAATGACACGGTGCCATTGTGGCGGCTGGTGGATTTTGGGCAGACCCATATCTCAGTTATTAGACATGGGACCCACATCAAATTTATATGAGTTTACAATGACATTATATAGACAAGTTCTGCGCAAACAGAATATTTAAATTAAAGTTTGCGAAAAAAAGTTAGTTTTTAAGTGTGCCCCCCAGCCTCCTGCCCCCCAAACTAAGATAATTCAAATTAAAGTTGTACAATATTTAATTAACTGAAGTTTATCGACAAATTTTAAATTTTATTAAAAATTTCAAGAATTACAGGTTTTATACCATTTTAAATTTTTATTATTTCTTTTACTAAATTAAAAAAAAATAGAAATGGTATAAAATCTGTAATACTTGATTTTTTTTTATAAAATTTGAAATTTTCGATAAACTTCAGTGAATTAAATATTGTACCACTTTAATTTGAATTATCAAAATTTAATAGCAAATTCTTATGTAAAATTGCCCCCTGAATCCCAAAAGTTAAAAAAGTAGAAAAGTTTTTGAGATATAGTCAATTTTCCATTTAATATGGAATTGACTATATCTCAAAAACTGCTCCACTTTCGTAATTTTTGACGGTATTTTCGGATTCAGGGGACAATTTTACATAAGAATTGGCTGTTAAATTTTGGGATACCATGGTATTCCATGGTTAACCATGGTACAAGTGAAAAAGCAGCCACTAATAACTATTAAATTAGTCATTTTTGACTAATTCATTTTTAGAGGGTAGGTAAAATCACACAAAAATCTAAATCCTGTATCTGAGCTTGCTAGGAAATGTGATCAACGATAATAGTTTTGCCTGTAAATGGCTATATTTAACCAAATTATATAAATACAAATTACACTTTATTTAGTTTATATAACTATTTTTCAAAATAAAATAATTTGTCATAAAACTTTTTTTAAACAACCAATTTTTTGTAATTTTTTTCAAATAATTATTAATTTTAATTTTTTCTCACTCATTTTAAATGTCAATTTTATTGCAAAAATCGTCAAAATAATCTTTTCTATATATATTTCAAGAATGCTTTTTCTGATGGATATTAACTTTAGTCCCTGGTCACTTACAAATTTTCTTTAGTGTTTGAAATTTGTACAATAAAAGTATAATATACTTTTTACTCAAAAAGAGTTTTTATTGCGATTCTAACCATAGCTTAATTTTGGATAATTTCTTATGAAAAGATATTTTATCGATTCCAAATATTAAAGAAAATATTTAAGTGAGTGTAATAATTGAGAAAGACTGTATTTATTTAAATTTGTATGGTGATTTATTTAAAACATTTATACAAAAATGAAGCACAACAAATATCGGTTTTAAGTACTTATTTGGTAGGAATTTTCTAAAAAATTTCTTTTTAAATATTAATTGTTATATAAAATTACAGTTCAAAAAAATATTGCAACATAAAATTAACAATTTTACAAAATATAATAATTTTGTACTGAAATTTTACTTATTTTTTTAAATATTCCCTAAAAAGTTGTTCATATATTACTTAAAATATTCTATATACCATAAAATATGATTTAATATTTAATTTATTAAACAAAAAATATTACAAAGAAAAGCATAAAAAGAAAATAAAAAATGATCCGACAGAATATTTGAAAAAAAAATAAATTTATTACGTGATTAAATAAAGACCCGCATTAAAATCACACAGAATCCTTAAAATAACAATAATAATTGTAATTATATGTATTTAGTTAATTATCTTTTTGCAGAACATTATTTTACCTATAGGTAAAAATGATACTTACAGCTACTCTACTTTCTTTCAGGTCCAGTCTCATTGCTAATGCCTCCCTCATGAACACGTCGGGATAATGACTTGCCACAAAGGCCCTCTCCAATTCTTCCAACTGCCAACTATTGAAATTCGTTCGACTTCTTCTTCTTTTAGACGCCGCACTTTCAGAATCTGCCTCCCCACTGCTACACGCACCACCTTAAAAAAAAGTTCGTGATGAAAAATATGGTCTTTTAAAGTTTTAGAGATTAATGGTGTTTAAAATATGTTAAAACGTAAAATAGTTATTTTAGAACAAACATTAATATTTTTTAAGAAAAATGTTTTTTAATCTGATATTATTAATGGAACCGGGTTTTAAGTTGGGAGAAGGCGACTATAATAACATTTAAAATAGGTAAAAAGTGAGGTTAACCATTTGACAGATGTCAGATTTTATTTATTAAATAAATAAAATCCGCTATCTGTCAAATGGTTAACCTCAATTTAATTTTTTTAAATAATTTAATTATAATACTATACTTTATCTACTCCAATAAGTAGATAATAAAATGATTAAAAAAAAAATATATGATACTGATGCCTAACAACGTGAATAATGCGTTCATTATTTCCGTTGTCAGGCAAAAAAAAAACAATATTATGCAATGGGAGTAAATAAAATTATAATAATTGTGTGGTTTAAAATCAAATGGTAAAGTAATGTAACGCTACTATGTATAATTAATTTACATATACATAATTGTAAAAAATGCCAATGTACATTTAATTAACAATTCCAGTTTGATTTAATTAAAGTGTTTAATTAAAGACAAACAGGATAATTGCTATGATTAATATTCCGTAATTATTAATGTCTATTTTTTAATACAAATTATTTTATGCATAGTTAATAGGATGTAATTATGATATATTATTTTATTATATGCTTTTATAGTTTGGTCTGTTTTCAAGATTTTTAAATACTACCAATTTAAATTAACGACAAATGTCTAGACATTTTAACTACTTTCTTGGCACTAAATTTCATAACATAAAAATCATCAATTTATATTATTATATTTATATTACAAATATAACATGGGTACAAAAAGCTTTATAAGGGAGATACGCCCCTTTGTAGATTGCACTTGACAAAACAAAAAAAAACATTTTTTATCTCTGCACTTAAAACTTTAAAATTTCCGGAAAATATAAGTCGGCGAAAAATGGGCAAATTGGTAAATTAAAAAAAACATTTTTTCCAATTAACGAATTTAAAACAAAAATTACTATGTTCTATATTACTATATTTATTCTCGTATTATCCGTAATTCAAATGTCAATTTTTCTGCAAAAATTCCGAAATATTTCGTTTCATAAAAATTGTTAGTTATAGTTATAGTTATAACTATCTTATTAAGTAAAAATAAAGCATTTTATCTTCAATCAAAAAACCTGGAGAAATAATTAGGACCAATCAGTTTTTTTACCTCCTATAGTAAGGCTGTGTGGGCCAATAAAAAAATTCGATTGCTGTCAAATCTAACCTCAATTTTTACTTTTAATAATTTTTATAATTGTACGTTTTATGTATTGTGCAGCTGCAGTGGTGAAGGTTCCAATAATGGGGGGGGGTGAATTTTAATAAATTCCGACTTCTTCGAAGATTTTGCCGACGGCAGCAATTTTTTCACTCAGCTTTATAACATATTTGTATAACTATATTTATTAATGACATAAAAATGCTCCTATTATTAAAATGATTAAATTAAAAAAAAAACATTTTGTTTTCGATTAAAAAAAAAAACTGAGGAAAAAAATTACTAAAGTTAGCAAATGCGACCTTTATTTTTAAACCCCCCCATTCTATTACATTATTTAATAATCTAATTTGGGGATTATGATTCCATTTTTTAAATTTTCATTTAAAATTTTTGTTTGAGCGTTAATCCTTATAAGCATTTTTGAGTAAAAATATTTGACTTCATGTTTTTATGAACTTTTTTTCTTTATATTTTTCGATATAGAATCACCCCTTAAAATTGATGGATGTAATTCAGAATTCAGTATAATTTTCATAATAAAATAACTCATTGCATGTTTACTATTTAACTTTATTTTCTATTAATCTTGCAATATCCAATTTCAATTTACTCGCAACGGACATTCAATTTCGATGCAGATATTTCCGATTAAAATCGGCAACAAATTTTCATAAATGTATACGTGTATCTAAATTGAATCTGAATCGGTCCTTTATTGAATTGTCTTAGATAAGAAAATCATAATTTTATTTTGTTGACTATTCCGCCGTACGAATATTGTAATATGATATATAGATTCAATTCGTCTCGGAAAATGGAGTTTTCTCCGAATAAATGCACTCGGACGGTTTTAGAACAGTGGCGGCGACGGAATATTTTCATTTAGGGTTTTGTTATAAATGATGGGATTTTTCCACATATCTGTTTTCACCAGTTTTACGAACGATGAAATCAAATGAGATAGTGTAGAGATGAGTTAGTATGGGTTCATATTTTACAGTCTGTATTATCAATTTTAAAAATAATGACAGGTGCATGTTTTTTTTTCTAGCAATTTTTTTTAGTTTTAGTACAATAGAGTTTCTAAATATCCTTGAAGCTATTTTTGACATTTTAGAGTTGGATTGTTTTTAGTCGTTTCCTTTTTTTTTGTTCAGGGAATTTTCTGATCTGAAGAAAACAAATACATTTTAGGGTTTTTAGTAATAGTTTTAATTTATATTAAAATAATAGTTTTATACATGGAAGATACAAATATTTTAAATATATTTTTTTTAATCTTAAAAAGTTATCAAATTGTAAGGTTTGATTTTTAAAGTAGATTTATATTATTTCAGGCTTTTTTATATTAAGCTATTTTTTATTTAAAATGGTCTCTGGAAATGTTTTACAATTTTTAATAAAACAAGAGTTTTCTTTTAATCATTATCTTAAATATTTTCAATATTTACACAAATAAAACCTAATGAAAAATGATAAACATTTTATTGTATTACATGGCACGCCAATGTTTTCCTTAGTAAGTCCAGGACATTTTCTTTTGTTTTGATTTATTAAATTTTTGGAATAGGCGTGCAGTCAAGTCGAGAGATATATCGTTCTGATAAAGTTTCCGGCGTTTCGGGAAAACAGAAACAAACATACAAATACAGTGGAATATGAATACATACGAATATACAAGAGAGCTATAAAATTATGCATCTACATAGACGTTAAATTAAAACTTTTCTGTTTGCTGTTTCGCTTTAACGTCCCACAAATTTATGAGATCTGCAATGTACAAAGAAATGCGAGCAAGAGGGATAATTTGAAAAACAACTTTTTCTAAATTAAAGTTATGATGAAATATTTTGAAGGGGTTGTTATTCTCTCAATGTTATGTTTTAATAAAGTTTCCCCGCGCATTCAAAATTTTCGAAGGGTTTCCCCACTTGTAATTTTAAATTAAAAATTTTAAAAATTTATTTTGCATAATAAAAACCTATTTTTAATAAGTTTATAATATTTAATAATTTATCATTTGTACTTAAATGTTTTATTTTTTTTTGTAAAAGTCTCAAAAACTATTTTAGTAATGCATGCACTTTGCAGAAATTACTTATCAACTAATTTTTTTAACTTTTCTGGAAAAATTGGAAGCATTTGCAATGGGAGAAATTTGTTTTTTTTTACGATTTATAAAAATTTTGTACAAATTGTGTCTTATACAATGTGTAAGGAAAATTTTGACCCAAAACTGCCTTAAAAAACACAACATGTTGTAAACATCCTAAAGTTATTTAAAACGCTTCAAAACTAGTTTTTATACCTGTAAAGCTACAGCTACACGTAGAGTGGCTATTTTCAACCGATTCTCGCACTCCAGCATGTATGCAAAATTTCAAATAAGCTGGTGCTGCGATTGGACAATAACATAGTCAAAATTCGGGGTTATTTAAATTATTTTTACGTTTGTTGTTTTGGTGTAGTTTATTTGTTAATATGTGTAGCGAAAACCCTATTGAACATTTTATAAATGTCATATTAGATATATTATATCTATGTACCTTCATTTGCAAGCTAACCATAGGGAAAATACATTGTAACTGGACCAGATAAGTCGCAGTCAACACAAAGCGAGAACCTTCTCAGAAATGATTTGGATGCGTCGTCGAGACATGCGTACTAAAACAAATTTTACCAGATTTACACCGCACAAAATACAAAACAATAATAACCGAAGGTCAACTGTTACGGCGCATGCTAGCTTACTCGTCCACGCGTCCAAATCATTTCTACAACGTTTTTCGCTTCGTGCTGACTAAGACTTATCTGGTCCAGTTACAATGTATTTTCCCTATGGTTAGCTTGCAAATGAAGGTACGGTATAACACCTATATGAACTGTAAATAAACCATGACATGCTATGTTTTTTATGAAATAACAACTTCACAGTCTTCAAAATCAATATGATCTTATTTCTTAACAAAAACGAATGGTTAAATACATGCAAAATGTTTACGAACTTTTTTCTATATTTGTAGTATTTGTACATAGTACAAAAGTTTACTATTTCCGCGACACAAATTTAAAACTATCGATAGCACTATCAATTTAATACCAAAAGATAAAAAAATGTTCAGATAAAAATTAACTGAATTAAATAAAAATCACTTCACAAATAGGTAATAAGTCAAAGTTTGACTGTCAAACAAAATTTACTGTTTTGTATTAATTCACAATTATTCATGTATTTCCATAAACTTTTTGGTACCATTAAAAGACATATCGACGACTTTTATAATTATTATTATTATATAGTATTTAATAAATACCCTATAATAGTATATTCGAGAGAGGAATATGCAATTCCAAACGTTTTTCAGACTATATTTTTTCTACGTTTCCAAAAAAATACCATAGAATAATAATTTAATTGGAAGAAAGTGAGGTTGGATCGGTCTAAAATTTGTTAAATATTAAAAAAAGAGATGTCGCCACGAGTGTTTCTGTCATCCGATGATAGAATATTTCATTCTGTAACACTTTACGGAATATATGTCATTCCATAGATAAAAGTGATATTAGAATGGTCAAATTCCGTAATAGGAGTAGTAAAACAATATTCAATGGTAGTTTATTAAAATATTCGGTCATCTATGTTTAAAATATTCGAGGATTGTTTTTACTTCT